CTAAAACCAGGTCTACACAAGATCTAAATTAGATCTAAACCAGGACTAAACCAGGTCGAAAACAGGTTGAAAACCAGGACGAAAACAAGACTAAACCAGGACTAAAACCAGGTCTAAACTAGATCTAAACTAGATCTAAACCAGGTCTAAACTAGATCTAAACCAGGTATAAAATCAGGTCTAAACCAGGTCTAAACCAGGACTAAACCAGGACTAAACCAGGTCTAAACCAGGTCTAATACAGGTATAAACCAGGTCTAAAACCAGGTCTAAAACCAGGACTAAACCAGGACTAAACCAGATCTAAACCAGGGCTAAACCAGGACTAAACCAGGACTAAACCAAGGCTAAAACAGGGCTAAAACAGGACTAAAACAGGTCTAAAAACAGATCTAAACCAGGACTAAACTAGATCTAAACCAGGTCTAAAACAGGATTAAAACAGGTCTGAAACCAGGACGAAAACAGGACTAAACCAGGACTAAAACCAGGTCTAAAACAGGTATAAAACCAGGTCTAGACCAGGACTAAACCAGGGCTGTTTTTTTATATACACATCTATATAAATTCAGGCGTTTTTGGGGTTAATTCAATTTTTTTAAATGACTCAAGTAGGAGTAAAAGTACACTGCTTGGAAAGTAAGCTGAAATTTACTTTAAAGGTTATTCAAGTAAATGTAACTGAGTACTTCCCACCTCTGCGTCACAAGTACAAAGTGAACTTATCATTTTCTCTGCTTGTCCAAAGAAAACACTAAAAAAGACTTACAATGCAAACTGTCTAAAATAAGCTCGTTGTGTCGTTTTGCTGTTCACATTTTGAATCGATTCGAGAACTGTACAACGTTAGTATCACAATATATCACTGAATCGATTTGTTTTTACACCACTATAACCCTCTATATAAAAAACACAAAGATATTAATCCATGTCAAGCCACAAATAATCCAGTTTTAAGACCGTCGTAAATGATCCGACACGGGGCCCCCACAAAGCTGGACCCGGCCCTGCTCCACTTCACATTCCAGTAGATTTGATGGAGCCACTGTACTTGTATTTATCAGGGGAACTGTCGCGTTAGGTCTGTATCACAATGCAACGTAGCATTATTGAATTTACAGCGGCAGAGGGACTTCAATTTGCCGTAAAAAAAAAAAAAGTACTGCATGAAATTGCGCACGAAGCCTGAGGGGCGACAAAAACTGACCACGTTGGGCCCCCGAGCCGTAGTTTCCGCAGGTTGCGCGCTCTTACTATACGGTGCGTTTTTTTTGTTATGGAAGTTTTGTTATGTGACGTCCCTGGCAAACCGTAAAAAGGGGGCACAGATGAAAAACATTTTTGAGGAGGACGGCTCGCATCGCCATGACAACAGCCTTGGCGGCACAGATAACAGAGTCTACTGTAGATCAGAAATGTAAAAAGTTATGTAAATAAAAGTCTGTTGTGAAAAAATTTGATGATTCATTGCGACTATAATCAAGATCTGGACTCTATTCATACTGGGATCTCGGTGCCAATAAAAATCTGTAATATTTGATGGTTTTATTTACTCAAAAATGATGCAGAATCATGTTATTAATATTAACGCTGTTTATAATCACATACAGAACATAAATCACAGACTACAACACATGAACCAGGACTAAACCAAGACTAAACCAGGTCTAAATCAGGACTAAACCAGGTCTAAATCAGGACTAAACCAGGTCTAAATCAGGACTAAACCAGGTCTAAATCAGGACTAAACAAGGAATAAAACAGGAATAAAACCGGACTAACCCAAGACTAAACTAGGACTGAACCAGGACTAAAACAGGACTAAATCAGGACTAAACCAGGACTAATCCAGAACTGAACCAGGTCTAAACCAGGACTAAACTAAAACTAAACCAGGACTAAACCAGGACCAAACTAGGACTAAACCAGGATTAAACCAGAACTGAACAAGCACTAAAACCAAAACTAAAACCAGGACTAAACCAGAACTAGGCCAGGACTAAACCAAGACTAAACCAGGACTAAACCAGTACTAAACCAAGACTAAACCAGGACTAAACCAGGACTAAATTGGGACTAAACCAGACTAAAATCAGAACTAAACCAGGACTAAACCAGGATTAAAACAGGACTAATCCAGAACTGAACCAGGATTGACCCAGGACTAAACCAGGACTAAGCCAAGACTAAACCAGAACTAAACCAGGACAAAACCAGGTCTAAACCAGGTCTAAACCAGGACTGAACCAGGACTAAACTGGGACTGAACCAGGTCTAAACCAGGACTAAAACAGCACTAACCCAGGAGTAAACCAGAACTGAACCAGGATTGAACCCAAACTAGATCAGGTCTAAATCAGGACTAAACCGGGACTAAACCAAGACTAAACCAGGACTAAACCAGGACTGAACCAGGAGTAAACCAGGACTAAATCAGAACTAATCCAGAACTGATCCAGGACTAAACCAGGACTAATCTTGGACTTGAGAGTGAGAGAGAGAGAGAACTCCGAGCCCATGGAGCAGGGTGTCCACAGAGCAGAGTGATCGGGCGTCGGCTGCGCTTACCTCCTTGGGTGCGGTCACCTGACACGCAGTCCTGGTTCCGTCCTGATTCAGTACTGGTCCAGTCCTGGTTTAGTCCTGGTTCAGTCCTGATTCAGTCCTGGTCCAGTCCTGCTCCAGTCCTGGTTCAGTCCTGGTCCCTCATGTCTCAGGTCACTATAGGACAGTACTGCAGATATCATGAGCCTGTGCAGGTTGTTTCCATCATTGCCAATATCTCTGGTTTGACATTTAAGTTTTAATTATTTTATATTTGTTATTTTTTTTATATCTCACGTCGAGAGAAGTGGGTGGAGGACGTACCCCCACGTACCACGTACCACGCCCACTACACCCCTGTGACCCGGGTATTGACTTCAGCAAATTAGTATTTACTGGACAATGTTGGTCCGAAAATGTCTCATAATATTAAATGTGTTTTTTACAAAGCTGTTCTGTAATTTAAAAACACATTTGGATCATTTTTACCCTAAAATCTAAAAACTGTACTTATACTTCCACCTGAAAAGTGATACAATGCACCTTTAAAACCAAATTATTGGCATCGGTATTGGAACAGAAAAACCTGAACATGTCAATAACATTAATATTTGAGAGCAGATTGAATTATAAACCGCTAAAATTAAACAATAACCAGAACTACACGCATTTCAGAAGATTAACTCCAGGGTTAACTTGTGTAATAAATCCCCATCGCGAGTTTGTTCTCCGTTCAGTTAATTAATCAAACGCGTGCGAAAATTGTTAAACACGCTGAACACTAATTACAAAAAGCTTGAACTTCTTCTCAGTTTTAGTTTCACGTGGATAGGCCCAGTCATTACGGAGATATGAGCCATGAAACAAGTCAACAAATCTGCAATTCGACACTTACGCAGCAAACTCCACCAGAGAATCACTCTAATCTATAGGGATTTCTTAAACGATTTTTAAACGTGCGACAAAAAGCGCACACCACAGACATGAGGAGAATCTTATGAGACTTAGGGCCTGAGAACGCTTGTGGGTAAAAACAACAAATTTTTTTATCTGAAGTGCCTTTCGTTTAGACCGTGACGGCGTTTTTTGGGGCTTAAAAACGCAAACATCTCAAAACACCCTCCCGAATGGAAAAGTTAAATACGCTCTGCTGTAGCGTTTCCGTCTACACTGCCCAAGACGCAAAACTTTGGTCAGATCTGCTCACGTCGCGTACACGTTTACGTCACATACATCACCACTGAGCCGCTCAATTCCACACATTTTTGCGTCACCGTATGCACACATTTCCTCCCAAAAGTGTTCGTCTCAACGCGGAATAAAAAGTGAAGACGTGATGCCACTTTTGCGTCTTCTGTCATCATATAAACGTAGCCTTAAATGATATTTAACCGTGCAACAAAAAGCGCACACCACACGCACATGAAGAATCTTATGAGACTTAAAAATCTCCGATCACAAAGACTGCAGGATATAAAGTTGTGAGCGAGATTGCGCCAGCTATTTCCTTTTGACAGTAAAACGACTCACTTTGAGACTCTTACGTGTTCAAAAGATCAGAGCGCTGCACTTCTAGTTTAGACACAAGTCAAAACTGTGTTGTTATTATTATGAACAGTCCACCATAGACACACATGAAGAACATACTCAAGGTGATGTCAAAGTATTCATAGATATTTCAGTGTCATGTGAACACAACTTTCTGGTGGAGGGTCCGTCACCTGCTTGATTCCAGGGATATGTCACTTGCAGCATTAGGATTTGTTCGTTTGACAGTACAGTTGATCGTGATGTATTTAATGCGCCAAATCTTGCAGGAAGAAGGGCAATAACGTCTTTCCCCTTGATCAAATTCACCAAACATTCTCTTTGTTCCGGCTTTAAATCCTCGATTTTGCGAATCATTGCCAACACAGAATGTCTGTCTTCGTCTACATCCTTGACCGGTTCGTTTACCGTTGTGGGATGCAGACAGGCGCTTGAGTTTGACATCATGTCTTCACAGCTCTTCGCTGATCGGCCGGTGCATGGTCTACAACTTCAGGGGTTCTTGCAAACCATCTAAGAGTATTCCGATTCCTGACCTAGTCACTGGAGAGAAATGAAATTGAGTGGAGGCATTAGGTGGCACCAGCCTGGCTAAAATTAAACAGCTCTACTTAACATTTATTCAATTAGAGGTGGTTTTATAGCCCAAAAACACCTAGAAAAACAGGTATTCTGACTGTGAGTGGGATCGCCTTTCCACAGATCTGACCTGTAAATTGGTCTGGTTTGGTGTCCATGAAGATAGAAAGGTTTAATACCATACTGTGAAACATCCCAAAACAATAACATCTCCATGAAGAAAAGCATTTGACAGAGCCTCCACTGGAAAAGTTACACAAAGCACTTTTAAATGACCAGCCCACATTAAGAATTCATATTTCCATTAAAAAAAAAAACACGGAGCGTACCTCAGATTGTAGAGCCCCAGGAACATGTCAGGGCTGAGTCTCTCCAGGTTGTTCCCGTTGAGATAGAGGCTCCTCAGGCTGCTCAGGCTGGAGAACGCCCCCTCTTGGAGATGCGAGATCCGGTTATTTCCCAGGTGCAGCAGGTCCAGGCTCGAAAAGTTCCAGAAGTCCGTCCGGTAGATCCGCTGGATGAGATTCCCGCTCAGGTACAACTTCCTCCCGTTCAGAGGCCTGGGAGTGAGCTGGGAGACGTTGAGGAACCCGCACTCTTTACAGTTCACGGTCAAACCCAAGTCTATGATGTGGAGGTTACAGGTGCAGCCGATGGGGCAGATGATGGGGATGGGCGGGCGCGTTTGGTAGCCCGCGACCGGTGGGTTCTGCGGGCTCCGGGCGGTGGGCGGGGTTCTGGATGCCCGGGGACGCTTGGTGGGCCTGGGTTGCCTCTCCTTGCGCTCGGCCGATGAAGACGACGATGAGGTTGACGTGTGAGTGTTCTGTCTTGACCCGTGGACCATCGAGGAGGGCTTGGTCGGTCGAACCTACGAATGACACGATATCAAATGTTACTGTTGTGAAAAAAGCAGATTGTTTGTTGCAAATATAAAGCAGGAGTCTCCTTTTTTATTCTCCTTTTTTCCTCCATGAGCTACCTTCTTGAAATGAAAATGCCAGAGAGCTACTCATTTTAGCAGTTGCAAGAAATTGAAAATGTAGAAGAGCTCTGGCAAACTTTAAACGAGGCACAGTTAGATGCCTATTAAACACATCAAACCATTATCCATTTATTCGTGCACAAGTTAGGAATTAAAATTGCACATTTACACTGGAAATAAATCTGATTTTAGTTATTAAGCACATTACATATAATTCAGAAATCCTTTGGCGAGTTACTTGGAAGGGGGTGGAGAGATACTTGGAGCTCCTGAGTTACAGATCGGTAGCCTGATTCATCAGCCAGTTTCACTTCGTAGAAACCGTCTGACCTCGCAGCATTAGAATTCGTTCGCTTGAGGGTCGGTGGGTACTTTTTTCATTTAACCAATCACTGCTATTTGGTCGTGACATATGTACTGCACCGCTAGCTGGTATATTAAGCTTTTCCCAAATCCCGTAGGAAGAAGGACAATAATCTCCTTGATGAAATTCACCAAACATTCTCTTTGTTCCGACTTTAAATCCTCGATCTTGGGAATTGTTGCCAACACAGAATATACGGCTCTTCGCTGATTGGCTGGTGCCCGAACTCGCATTTTTGGGGTTCTTACAAATCATCTAGTTTATTCCAATTTCTGACCAAGTCACTGGAGAGAATTGAAATTGAGCGGAGGCACTAAGTGGCACCAGCCTGGCAAACAGATTGAAGACCCCTGATATAAATGATAGTTTTACACCAATCAAGAAGCAGTTTGCGAAGGAAAATTTTAAAATATGTTCAAAATTACAAGAAGTAGAGAGTTCTAAACATTAATAACATCACACTAAGGAGAATTCTATCCAAAAGCTAGACCCAATTTACACATTAGAAACGCATCTTTGTGATACTTTAAACATGATTTCAACAAATTTAAGGTATTTTCATATATTTATATTGGTCAAGTAGTGATTTTGGTTTGTCAAAAGTATAGAAAATCAGACATTAATCGAAACTAGCAAGAATCGATACTAAAAAATCACATTCGCAGGACTGAAAAGCTTTGGAATGAGCTGTATCAGAACAAGTATAAGAGCACATAGACGAATATACGCCCATGGACAAAATTTGAATGCTGAAAATTACATACAATTGTCTAAAGAAAGAATGTTTTTGTTATTATCATTGGAATCTCTATGGAGTCTTTTCCTCAGCATTGACACTGAGTTTCAAATTTTAGTATTAGGTATTTATTTTATACTAGTATTGAGTATTAGGTTTGAAATTTTAGTATAGGCGGTTTTCAGATTCTAGAGTTTGATATATGGGGCGGCAGTAGCTCTCGACATAAAAAAAAACGTCACTGGTTGAGCGGTCAGATCCAGGCTGGGTGCTGTGATTCCAGCTCCCACAGATGAATGCTGTTGTTGTGTCCTTGGGCAAGACTCTTAACCCACGTCAAACCCCATTGTCTGCGTACACTGGTGTGTGAATGTGTGTGTGAATGGGTGAGTGGTTTCTTGTTGTAAAGCGCTTTGAGTGCCTTGAAGGTGGAAAAGCCATTTACCATTTACTTTGTCACTAAGGCTACGTTCAGTCTGCAGCTTGAAGTGACCCAAAACAGATTTTTTCACCCCGTGCGACTTGTATCTGATCTTTTAATGACAGTCTGACCAACACAGATCAGTTTTTATTTCAAATGCGACCCAGGCCACTTGGATATGTGCTCCTAAAACCGATACATACCCGATCTTTTGACATGTGACTTCAGTCTGAAAGGCCAGGTCCCACCTCCCGCGAGAGAGGCACAAGTAGGCGCTCACAAATATACACAAACGTTCTTCCCGTCATACGAAAATTGTGTATGAACTCCGTGTCAGGGAAGCAGCAAAGCGCATCGCAATCCCACCATTCTTAGCTGCGACTCCTTTCTTCGGCTGTTGCTGCCACTGCCCCACAAAACACCATGGATGCCAAAAACTATCGTCCTTCTCCTCCTCAATCTCCTCTTTAAAACAAATAAGCTGTTCATGTCCGGTACGACAGCAACTTTAAAATCTCCAGGTGCTCAACGCTCGTGTCCATGTTTAGGCAACTTCCACAAACTCTGAGCAATTCTGGGGCGTTTAAAGTTCACACAAGTCGCATTTAATTGGAAATGTGAACAACCTTGCAAAAAAAAAAACATATTTCACAAAAAAATCCGAATTTAGCCTTAAGCCCTGCAGTCTGAACGTAGCCTAAATATACAAAACATAAATGCACAAATGTTGAACCTGATTATTTCTCTAACTGACAAAACCTAAAAATCTCACTGTATTACAACAAAAATCTGCATCCAACTATATTAATTTTAGCTGCCCCCATCTGCGCTAAATAATACAGGCCTATAGAATAACATGGTTGCTAGGTAACCGTGCTGTACAGATTTAGCTCTAGGTTTAATCCCAGTTTAATCCTCATTTTGACATGGAGATTGTGCAAGCGTGACCACACCCTTAGCCTCACCCGTGGTTTGGCGTTGGACGGCGGGTGCTGAGGCTGCGCTCCCCCCTCGGTCTGGAGCTCTTTGTCGGGCAGCGCGGCGCACAGCTCCTTGCGGGGGATTTCGCGGAGGTCTTTTCCGTGGAGGTGGAAGGGGTACTCGCAGGTCACGTCCCCCACCACGGCCGTGTAGGGGATCTGGGCCAGCCACTGTTGGAGCTGCAGAGCCTCGCAGCCGCAGCTCCAGGGGTTCTCCTCCAGCTGCAGCTCCATCAGAGAGCGGCCCACGTACTCGAGGGTCCCCGCGAACGCAAGGCTCTTCAGACGGTTCCCCCTCAGGTCCAGGTGAGTCAGAGAGACGGATCTGCAGAAGAAAAAAGGTGTCAGGGAGAGGTGAGTGGTTGGAACTAGATATGTGAGGGACAGAATTTTCAGTCCCGCTCCTGCCTAGCCTGATTCATCAGCCGGTTTCACTTCGTGGAAACCATCTGACCTCGCAGCATTAGGATTCTTTTGCTCGACGGTGGGCAGGTACTTTTTTATTTAACCAATCGCTGCTATTTGGTCGTGACATATGTAATGCGGCGCTAACGGGGCTAAATGATATATTAAGTTTTTCCCAAATCCACTAGGAAGAAGGGCAATAACGTCTTTCCCCTTGATAAAATTCACCAAACGTTCTCTTTGTTCCAGCTTTTAATCCTCGATCTCGTAACCATCTAGTGTATTCAGATTCTGGACCTAGTCGCTGGAGAGAAATGAAATTGAGCGGAGGCACTAGGTGGCACCAGCCTGGCTAACTCCCGCCAGCAAAAAAATTTAATTTTCATTCCGGCCAGCATTTGCAATACCATATTTTCTGCTTTCTGCTGTTTGCTCTGGATTATAAAACGCACGTCATTAAATGGTCTATTTTTGAACTTTTTTCACAAATAAACCGCACCGGAATTTAAACAAAACACAACAGTTGGATGGGTCAGTGGGACTTTGTTTGTGGCGTTCACGGTGACTCTGGGCTTTGTTCAGTTGTGGCGTGTAGGGAGGGTGCTGTCTGGGACCGCTGGATTGTCGGCGTGTTTCGCAGTGACTCAGTTGTTCAGTTGTGTCTAGAAGTGGCACATTGCACTCGTTTTTTCGGTTCGTTCCTCTGTTCCGTTCCTCATCCCCATGGAGTGATGAGTGTGTCTGCGGGTGTATTTCGCGGCGCGGTCGCTGTCTGCTCCGTGTGTGTTTGCGTGCGCTGCGGGTGGTGCGGTTTGGTGGTTTACTGAAGTCGTGCTGGGACACCCAAGTGGATTCGTGTATAGGGCGCTCTGGATTGCAGGGCGCGCAGTCGTTTTTTGATTCTGTTAGAGGCTTAAGAGTGCATCTAATAGCCCGGAAAATACTGTAATTTTGTGCCACTTCCACCTGCAAATCCCGCAAGACGTGGACGTTCACTTTCTTAAGATCTATCGAACATGGAGAAGCTTAGATTTTATTAATGCCAAATAAAATATCCAGCACAAATGATGTATGATAGGCAAACATTGATCTGTATATTTTACTTTACACGCATATTTATTAGTTAGTGGGACTGCAGTTTATCATCCCACCCACCCGCTCCCACATTGTGCAGTCCCGCTCCCGCCCACGTCCGTAATTAACTTTCAAATTGTGTCCCGCACTGCACTGTTTTATGTCGGGTCCCGCTGAGGGCTGGACTCTAGTTGGAACATGAACGGTGTAGAATTGAAACTTTGCAGCTGATGACGTCAAGATTCTCCGGGGGTGTGAAGCTAAACTGGAAGCACTGCTCTGTCTGAAGCTCTGTGACTCAACTTGGACTTAATTTGAGCTTTATTTTAACACAGTCTGACCAGAACGAGCTGATTTGTGCTGTGAAACAAGTCTCACACATGAAATTACAGTCACAATCCAGCCAGCTTTAGCCAGCAGTTTTTCAATTAGTCACTCTCACCTTTTTTGCCGAAAACCAAACACCTAAACTGGACCTTATATGCTCGTGTTGATCACAGGCTCCTGAAAACATGTCCTATCATTTTAATCTGTGTTTGCTAATGTGAGCATATCGTCACCATGGTAACTGCTGAACATTCCGCCGATAGACATACACGCACGACACCCCCCACTGCAAAGTATCAATAACTTTCAGGCTACTTCAGTTTATTCTCCAACAGCTTAGTGAAAGGATAAAATGGAAGAGCGAAACAGATTGAGATTTGCTTTTATGTTTAAAATAAAAGTAATGACGGTGGTTTTCAGCTTGGTAAATATGCGAATGTTTTTCTCATTTGCATCGGTAATCATTATAGAAGTCATATAAACACGACGATTATAAAATTATTGCTTTTCAGTGAGAAAAAATTACCAAAAAATGACTGCTAAAGAGATAAACAAATCAAAACAAACCAGTTACCCATGTCTAACTGTTTGGCATATGTGTAAAGAATTGTGTTTTTTCCTTTTTTGTAAATCATTTCATTTAAACATTTTATATATTTACAATTTTTTTATTAATACACCAGATTTTTATTGTCTTAAAAATGTGAAATGGTTTGATCCAAAGTTATTTCTGTTGACCTTAAACATCTAGAACATCCTAAATGATTCACCACGATGAGTTTATAAGCACCTTTTTTGCCCTTTTTTGTAACGGTAACAACAACTAGCATGCTAACATCCACTTCCTGATTAAAGCGTATTGTCCTATAGCGATGGGATGAGACACAATTTCCACAAGACAGGATGGTATACGAGACTGGAACCACGAGAACGAGATAAGATGAGATTTTAACATAATTCCTAATAAACAAATGTCATGATTCAGTTTCCTTTTTTTTTTTTTTTATTTATTGGAGGTAATATTTTTGTTTACATTCCAGTACTGCTTTTTGGAACTGTAACTCACCAACAGGTAAATCGTTTTTTTGTCCAATTCAAACGTAAACACACAAAAAATCTGTGTGAGATCATTTTTGTTGTGTCCGATTGTGATAAATTCGACTCCCAGATAAATACCAGATCATTTGTAATATTGTTGTTATATAGATAAGAGTTTACAATCTGTGTATCATTCGTTCTTTAATTTTTCAAAATAAAATTAAAAATAAGAAAATGAAAAAACAGCTATTTTCTTCATTATTTGTCTCCAAAACCAAAATGAAAAAACGGATAATGATTTGTTATTCATGATGTTTTTCAGTTTTTGATTTTGTGTTTAAATGAAAATGTTAATGGAAAATGGTTGGACTGATCCCAGGACTGAACCAGGACTAAACCCGGAGTAAAACTAAACCAGGTCTAAACCAGGTCTCAGTCCCGGTCTGGTCCTGGTCTCAGTCCTGGTCTCAGTCTGGTCCTGGTCCCAGTCTGGTCCCGGTCTCAGTCTTGATCTGGTTCCGGTCTCAATCCCGGTCTCAGTTCTGGTCTGGTTCCGGTTTCAGTCCTAGTCTCAGTCTCAGTCCGGATCTTGGTCCCAATCTGATCCTGGTCTCAATCCTAAACCAGGACTAATCCAGGACTGAACCAGGACTAATCCAGGACTGAACCAGGACTAAATCAGGACTAAACCAGAACTAAACCAGGACTGAACCAGGGATAAACCAGGACTGAACCAGGACTAAACCAGGACTAAACCAGGACTAAACCAGGACTAAACCAGGACTAAACCAGGACTAAACCAGGACTGAACCAGGACTAAAATAAACCAGGACTGAACCAGGACTAACAGGACTCAGGACTAATCAGGACTAACCAGGACTGAACCAGGACTGAACCAGGACTAAACAGGACTGAACCAGGACAGGACTGAACCAGGACCAGGACTGAACCAGGACTAAAATCAGGACTGAACCAGGACTAACCAGGACTAACCAGGACTAAACCAGGACTGAACCAGGACTAAATCAGGACTGAAACCAGGACTAAAACTGAACCAGGACTAAAACAGGACTGAACCAGGACTAAACCAGGACTGAACCCAGGACTGAATCAGGACTAAACCAGGACTAAATCAGGACTGAACCAGGACTAAAATCAGGACTGAACCAGGACTAAACCAGGACTGAACCAGGACTGAACCAGGAGTGTCGGGTCGGGCCCGGAGGTGATCAGGATTAAGACCAGCACTCAGACAGGACAGACCGGGACTCAGAACAGGACCAGACCAGGACTGAGACCGGTTTAGTCCCGGTTCAGTTCTCATTTAGTCCTTGTTCAGCCCTGTTTCAGACCTTGTTTAGACCTGGTTTTAGTCCTGTTTTAATCCTGGTTCAGTCCTGCATCACAGTTTAAGTCACGGAAACGGGAAATGGTCGTTGTCAGTTTTTTTCATTTTGGTTTTGGAGACAAATAATGAAGAAACTAGTTGTTTTTTCATATTCTTATTCTTCGTTTTATTTTGAAAAACAAAAAAAAATGATACACGGATTGTTTACATTCGTCCATTTCCTTCTATCTCCGTCACATCGTCCTGTGACTTCGCCTCCGTAAACAACTTGTGACTGATTAAGCATAATTCTAATCGGGTCGAGTCCAGCGTTTCTCCGTCCAAATATGAAAATAATGGATGACGCCCTGACAAAGAGATAAATGAGAAGGGATAAAAACATCAATACGCCGCCGTTACCTGAAGAGGTGCGCGGGCAAAGCGGGGATCAGGTTGTCATTGAGAATAAGAACTCGCAGCTTGTGGAGGAACCTCAGGGCTCCGCTGTCTATTCGTTTGATCACGTTGTAGTCAGCCTTCAGACAGAGCGAGAGAAAGAGAGACGGAGAGAGAGATAGAGCGAGATAGACAGATAGGGACAGAAAAGGGGAGAAAGAGAGGATCAGCAGCAGCAGATACAAACCTCGGAATGAAGACGTTGCGCGCTGTTGTGAGCTTTCATCTCAAATCAAGCTATAAAGGTTGTGTTAACATGCGAGAATTGAACCGTGTCAACACTGTGATCAAAGCGAAGAGAAAATGTGTATAGTCTAAAAACACCTTACGCATATAAAGAAAAAGAGAGGGGGTATTTCTACTTCGATGCGGTATTAATTACAAACTCATAACATATTTAGATCACCGCGTTCCCTTTTATGTTATAATTTATGTATTTGTTGAGTCTCCCCTCGCTTTGCTGCTCTCTGCGTTAAGTCCCTACCCCTTCAGAGCGACACTACAGAGCGAGAGAAGCTAGTAAATACTCATTGTGTCCTTGGGCAAGACACTTTTTCACCCATTTCGCCCCCAGTGTCTGCGTCAGTCAGAGTGTGAATGTGTGTTTGAGTTAGGGATGGGCATTTGATTAAATTTTCTTAATCGTTCGAATTAATGATGTAACAATAAACGAAATATCGTGATATCGTATCGTCAAAGTTCTCACAATAATATCGTGGACCATCACAATATATCGAATTACGAGTCTCTTTGCTTAAATTAAGAGTTATGGTGCAGCGATAGCGAAATAAAAAAGACAGAGGGAACTACATAGACCATGATCCTTTGCTCCATTTTAGTGCAGACTACAAGAAGAAATAACAGTTCTAAGCACTTTTAAGTCTTAGTTCTTTGGGTTAAAGGTTGTATGGAGGATTTTTGTTTTGTTTCAGATTGTCAATGATAGGTTAAAATAACATTACAGAGATGCAGCAGCCTTGTAATTATGATGACCAAAAAAAAAAAAAGAATGAAAATCTATCAAATGTGGACGTGGTGAGGCCAGATAAACATCAGCCAATAGAAAACAAGGCTACCTCATTTTCTATTGGCTGTTAGGTCGTCAATCAAACTCCCTACGTTTCTAGTGTAACTGACTCGCTGGGATTACGTGGTTTATGCGGCGGTTCTTAGAGACTTTTTTAAACTGTAGCTTCGTACAAATTCGCACAAAGTTTGTTGCAACGGCGGACGAGAATCCACGACCAGTTCGCCGCGAAAAGAAAGTCCGTTTTCGAGATCGCTGAAAGAAGAAGAGAAGAGGAAAAGGAGCGAAGACAAACTGAGGTGATTCTTGAAGATCCCTTCCAGCGATGGCGCGACTCAAGTAGACGAAGGTCGCTAAATTGTTTCTAGACCGGTCACTTCGACTGTAATTCCGAACGCCCACTGGCTGTAAACGTGTGATTTCTAGAGTAAGGAGGCGGGAGGAGATGTTTCTACTGAGGGAGCTGTGGAGGAGGAACATTTGAAAAAGAAGTGTCACTGTAGTTCTCTTCCCTTAAAAAAATCCTCTATACAACCTTTAAGTCATGTCAAGGCATTTTAAGATAAAAAAGTAACATATTAACAGTTTTGTTCGCCTCCACAAAATATCGCAATAAATACCGTGAGATGTATATTGTGAAAATATAAGAGATTTGGATATTGTTACATCCTTAATCGTGAGCTTTCCCACAATATCGCAATAAATATCGTACCGTGAGGTTCATACTGTGACAATATCATATCGTGAGACTTGGATATCGTTACACCCCTAATCATTAACGTTTTTATATAAAAGTTATCATCATTATTATTACTATTACTAATCTGCATAAATAAACTCAACTTTACAACATATAAACCATCACCACTCTAGAGCCACATCAGCCCGTTTGAGATTATAATGTGTTTAATGCGGCTTTGACACATTTGTTTATGTTCTACAGAAATGAAACTTAAAACCACATGACTCATTTGCATAAACTATGAAGCTCTGAAAAACCCAGCTCTTTCCTTGTGCACTGATGTGGTTCAGCTTCTGTCAGACTAAAGGACATGACTCAGTGAAATATGAGTGTTCTCTCTGTGACAGAGATCATGCCCATCCCTAGTTTGAGTGGCTTGAAGGTATAAAAATGTGATCATTTACTATTTACCATGACAATAACAGTGCATTTCGCTAATGAAACTACTGCACATCGCATCAGGTTTGTGAAGTTGTAGTGTATTGTTTTGCATCATGTATTTGTATATTTATAGAGAATTGTCGTGTGGGAGCGTGGGTGACCAAGGCTTGTGGGCTGAAAATTGGACAGGTTTGCATATTTAAGCGTAAGGAGGGTTTGAATAGTGCTCAGGAGAGATCCCTAGATTACACACACATGCATGGATCACCTAAAACCAATTCAGACATGTTTTTGATAAAGGAGCAACATCAATTTTGCATAACACCCCTCTTTAAAGAAGCACTACACCACCTGCTTGCTTCAGTGGAGATGTTTTTTGGTTTTTTTGTTTTTTTTTTACTGCAAATATTCCACAATATGGCATTAAATGAATGTATCATGCATTTGTTTTATTATGGGTGTTTTCATTGTTCAAAAATATCTTATAATAACAAGTCCATACATACAAATTCTTATTGTGATGGAAGAAAGCAAGTGGCCAACCATACAGCAGAAAACTTACACATATCTTTAATTTAAATAATCAAATAATCGGTCATTTTGTAGCATAAATAAAGATAATAAACTTCGTGCCAGTTTTTAGTTTCCTGTTCCATTGTAATCATAAAGTTGTTTCTCCAAACACACACCTAAAAATACAAACGTGTAACCTCACTTTCACCTTTAATGGGCACTACGAAAGTTTTTAGGTGGAGGGTGAAAACTTCTATTCTCCATGGAGATGTTGTTTTGTCTGGAATGTTTCACGAAATGGCCTGAGACTAATATATCTCCACGGAAACAAGCAGGTGACTCCAACAAACCAAGTATTTTTTTGGCCACGAAAACATCTGAAATTTAATAAAAGAAAGACAGATCTGTTTATACCGTACTGTGGAACATTCCGGGTAAAGCAATAACAGCCTCTCCACCAGTAAACTTACACAGTGCTGCTTTAATATCAATAACGGGGCCTATTATAATGGTAAATCACAGCAAAAAACACAATTACTGCATATTAACAACAGCCACATAGCAAACATTTCTCTTACAGTTTGTTGCCAGTGTCAGAGTTTAGGTAGTGACCATTTAGATTAGAGACATTTTAGATTTAAACCAAGTAGATTTCAGCTCATTGAATAATCGTCTTGAGAACCAAAACACAAAATAAAACATTTATACCATAAACAACTTCGCCATTATGTCCAATATTTTTCTAATTCAGAATAAATCAGCATTATTATCAGTAAAAGATATATTTGTTTTGAACGTGTTACCTTGTACCTTGGCAAAAGTTAGTGCATGTTTATGAAATTTAAAATCAGATACCAATACTTAACCTGGGAAGGATATACAACTGAAACAAACAAAGAAAAAAAAAAAAAGTATAAAAATAGATGGGAAGTTCTTAAATACTTGGGAGAAAATTCATCTGTGTATCTATATGCTCATCTGTTTTATGTAAACTTAGTTATAATTATGATGTATAAGTTCTATGGCTAAAACCAAATAGATGTAAATTAATATTTGTGTTTAGCCATATGGAATATGAATAAATTTAAAAATATTCAATCATAAGGACTTAAAGTAGTGACTTAAAATATAGTTAATAAAGGAAACATAGGTAATCCTTAAAACAAAGACAATTAATTATTTATAGTAAAAAAAATAATAATAATAATAAAGACCATTACAAATAATAATAATAGTGGTAATTGTTGTAGTTGTTGAACAAGTTATTGTTCTAATTATTGTCATTAACAGTAGAGACAATAAGAATAACAATAATAATTATTATTATTGCAATAATTATACTAATTATGATTTTTATGTTTTGTGTTTATGTTGATTATTGCATTTTGTTAAATGTTATGTTCTGTTTTTAGTCTAGTCTTTAATTGAAAAAAAAAAAAAAAAAAAAAAAAAAAAAAAGAAAGAAAATCCACCCACAACAACCACATGTCAAATAGCCAATAAACTACTGGGCAGCACCGAAAAACAGGGGAGTAGAACTAAATTCTGAGTCCTAGGTACTAATTATCTAGGTGGGTTCACATGCCAATGAAAAATGATTAAAATAGAAAATTATGTGAGGGGCCCCTTCTTGCACTGGCTGGGCCCTGGGTAAACAGCACCATTTACCCCCCTGGTCCGACGCCCCTGCCTGGAAGACTAGAGAAGAGAAAGATGAGGGTGGAGGAGGGGCGGAGTCTAGAGTTATAAGCAACAATGTGATTGGTCAAACAGTGTAACAATGTAACAATAACCAAAATATTGTGATATCGTATCGTCAAAAGTCTCACAGTAATATCGTGGACTGTCAATATAACGAATTACAAGTTCCTTTGCTTAAACACATTATAAACATAGGGAACTACATATCCCATGATTCATTTCAGCGCAGACAACATGAAGAGATATGTTTTTTAATTGAATTCTTGGGATTATGATGGAAATTATTCACACCAAAATCTTGTCAAGGTATTTTAAAAGCAAAAAAGTGTTCCATCTAGAGTTATTAGCCTCTTCAAAATATCACAATAAATATCGTACCGTGAGATTTGGATATCGTTACTTCCCTATCGAAGGTATCCACACTTTAGACTTTCGAGAAATGTGCTTCTGGAAATCGCAGAGAGTTCTTGACAATTTTTTTTGTAACACAAAACTGCAAATTTACCTCGTTGGCCATAAAATTACTACATAAAAAACGTCTAGGAACAGACAAAGCTATTAAAACACCATATGCACAGTCAAGAAGCAAAACAAAGTGGATTTAGTGTTTGGTTCCACTTCAAATAAACTCACCTGCAGATACTCGAGCGCCTCCAGGCCTAAGAAGGTGTCGTTCCTGAACACCTCCAGCTTGTTCTCGTGCAGGTAGAGCCTCCTCAGTTTGGCCAGACCGTTGAAGGCCCCCACCCGGATGTCCTGGAGCGCCGTGTTTCCCAGATTCAGCAGCACGGCGTTGCTAAGGTGGTGGAAGGTGTTGGCATACAGGCGCCTCAGGGTGTTCCTCTGCAGGTTGAGGTTGAAGGGGCGAACCCACGAGTGAGAAACCTGCAGGAGGGGGTGGAGATGATTCAAAACGTGGCTCCAGAAAAATGTTCTCAAACTAAACTGTGACAAAACTGCCTGGAATGTTCCACAGTGTGACATTAAACAGTTCTACCTTACATTTATTCAATTACAGGTGGTTTTACAGCTTAAAAATACCTCAAAACAGATCTGGCCTGTAACTTGGTCTGGTTTAGTCTCCATGAAGATAGAAAGGTTTAATGCCATACTGTGAAACATTCCAGACAAACAGCCCAAACTCTAATTATTCTACAAATACAAATTAATCCACTATATTGTATTTTTACAAATTTCATTTTTGGCATCACCCTACAGCTATCAACAACTAGCATGCTAACAGTGCACAAGCGTTATATCCTGGTTTGAAGTTTCTTCTAGTTCAAGAAAACACCTTTTACTCCATGTAGTAAAAGCATCTATTAATGGAAAAAAGGACAGTGAATGATATTGCTTATACATTAAAAATAAAAAAATTGTGTTGAATGAGAACCATATGGAAGCAACTGCCAATGACAGACAGTTTTATCCAAGTAGAGACATTGCTGGATGAGAACCATGTGCAAACAATTTCCTGTGACAGTCGCAATTGTAACAGTGTAACAGTGCATGTATATTTCGGTACAGGGCGTTCAGTTCAGTTCAGGCCTGTGCAGTTCATTTGCTCAATTTGTGTGTGTTTACATTCCAAAACAACATGTCCAGCAACACGGAAGGCTCGGCTCTTTAATATTTACGAGGGAACACGTCCATGATTGGGGTGGCAGTGTTTCCAACCGTGCTTTATAGTTACGGCAGCCGCCTTGACAACAATTGCCCCCCGCCTTGTCAACGTCGGTTCAAACCACGTGAATTCCTGCAAAACTACGGTCATCATGGCTCTATCCTCATTTTCGCCTTTCGCCAGCGAATCTCTGCTTCCGTCCCATACCCTCCTCCCATACCCACGATCTCTGTCCTGAGCGAAAAAGTATTTTCAACAGCTGGGGACGTAATAATTGCAGCAGATCTGCACTTACTGCAGACAATGTGGACAAGTTGTTTTTTCTGGCCAAAAAAATTAAGACTGAGTAAAACTTCATGTTGGAACTTTACTGTTTGAAAAGGTTTCTTTACTGTTTTCAAGGAATTGATTTTTATAATATTTCATACATTTGTTGCTTATTTGAGAATATTTTATTTAACTTATTAGTATTACCAAGCAGCACTTTGCATTTATTTTATTTTCCCCGTTTGTATAATGTTAAAACTAATTGTTGGTTTAATAAAAACACAAATAAACAACCATTTTGTTCCCGTACTGTACCAAAAATGAACCAAACCTTGACCTCAAAACCGAAGTACATAACAAACCGTGATTTTTGTGTAACTTTACACCCGTAAGAAACATTATAACACCAGATAATAGAGTAATATGGGCCCTTTAAGTTAATCGTCATCTTTACGCAACAACGTGTAAAACTCAATAAACGCTTTAAGTAATTGCTCTTGTGTACATTTAATCAATGCTCCTCTTGAAACAAATCGCCTTTTATTGCTACGCGTTAATGTACCCGAACAACATTACGCTCCCGCCATTATCACGTATTTCACTTAAAGCTCCGACTTAAACACAGCTGAGGCTAAAATAATGAATTCAAATGAAACGATTGTTCTGCCGCTTTTTCTTTTTCATCATCGTTTGGCCGGCGGCAGGGACCCGTTTACCTGCCAAGCCCGTGCCTCCCACACCTCTCTGCAGCTGAGTCACGCAAGTGTTGATTTAACTGGTGTCATCTGTTTTTCAATCGCGCTCGAATCAAATCTTCGCTCAAATCCGCTGGGACGGACCGGTTTCCACGGCGAGCTCACAGCAATATCTGAAAAGGTCAATTCATATCTAAGAAGAGGAGGGTATAAGCTGCCATCAGGAAACAGGGGCCTGGAGATGCAAAGATCCTCTATAATATTCGTGCTATGTTGTTTTGGTAAAGAGACTGAGAAGACTTTTGGGGCGGCGAGTTCGGATCTCTGTGTTTTGATCAATAACTCTCCAGACCACCTTCGAACCGCTCTGTTTTGAAATGGTGCAGGTTACATAGGGCCGCGCAACACAAGAACAAAATATGAGATTTGAGAACCGTGTTTGTGTATTGACATAAACAAGGGCAAATGAGGACTAAACGGTGGAAATTATAGTTATTTTTAAGATATTAAAGACGTATTATTGGAGTTTTCGGGCAGAGCGTGCGCTGCCTGCTCCGTAAAAATGTTGATGAAATGTTCCGCCTTATGCCTTTGAACTCATTATCTCTTTCTACGGAGAGATAAGCCGATATGGATTTTTATTTATTTATTTTTATTTATTTATGTTTATTAAGGACATCACAATCGAATTAGACAAACCAGATGTATTGCTCTGAGTGTTTTTGCAAAAGTTCTAGTTTTCAACATCTGTCCATATAAAAAAAATTTAATAAAATCTAAACTACATGCATAAAAATAGACAAGATAACATACAGACAAAATATATACAGTAAATTTTCAGTGGATGTATTATTTTTATTTTTTGAGCCGATATAGATCTCCAATATTCCAATATATATTCACCTGCTGTTGTAACCAATAACCAATATTTATCTTTTAAACTCCATAGCTATGCCCACAAATTGATCTTAAGTGGATGTAAAGATCCCAAATTAAAAATAAAAAAATGTATTTATCTCAGATATAAAAATATATATTCGTACATGTCTGTTTAAACATACAGCCATATAACACAGTTCTATTTCCATTTTCAGTTTTTAATCTCAGTGTAATTGGTGTTGCTATTGATATCGGCCAAAGCAATATAGCCAAATCAGCATCGATATCAGCCGATACACTAAAGTTAAGTCTGTATCAATATCGACCGATACATATTGTCAAATCTGTATCAATATTGGCCGAATCAGTACAGCCGAATCTGTATCAATATCGGCCGATACACTATAGCAGAATCTGTACAAATATCAGCCGATACAATATAGTCAAATCTGCATTAATATCGGCCGATACAATATAATAAAATCTGTATTACTATCAGCTGATACAATATAGCTGAATCTGTATCAATAAATCGATACAATATAGTCAAATCTGTATCAATATCGGCCGATACAAATAGTCAAATCTGTATCAATATTGGTTGAATCAGTACAGCCGAATCTGTATCAGTATCGGCCGATAAACTATAGTCGAATCTGTATAAATATCGGCCAATACAAATAGTCAAATCTATATCAATATCGGCCGATACAATATAGTCAAATCTGTATAAATATCGGTCGATACGATATAGTCAAATCAGCATAGATATCAGCCAATACACTGAAGCCAAATCTGTATAAATGTCGGCCAATACAATATAGTGAAATCGGTATAAATATCGGCCGATCCACTATAGTCAAATCTGTATTAATATCGGCCGATACAATATAGTCAAATCTGTATTAATATCGGCCGATACAATATAGCCAAATCTGTATCAATCAGTTAATACAATATAGTCAAATCTGTATAAATATTGGCCGATACCAGTACTGGAACCAATATACTGGCCATCCCTAACCACTACTGCCAAGTTACAGGTCAGATCTGCGGAGAGACGAGCCCACTAACATGCTTTTGGAGGTGTTTTTAACAAGTACCTGCAGCTGAATAAATGTAAAATAGACACATGCACAACCACAAAGACACATACAACACACAAATCAGAGCCTGCAACAAATCTTTTCATATAAATACACTCTCTCCTCCTTCTTCCTGCTATTTCAGCTACAATCCTCCTTTTCTCACAACAGCAGCAAAACCATCAGCCCCCCTCAGCCTCTCTATCTCCTCCTCTTCACCACCGCAATTCCTGTACCAGTGTTTATATTTTAAAAATCCAAAATGTTTATCCTGGCGTCTTGTATTAGCCACAAGATTAGTTTTCTATCCAAAGCACACAGAGAACTATTTGAGCTTTCACAAGTCAACACATTTTGTCTTAATCTGATTGTGACTATGGAAGCACAACGCTAAACCTTCAGAATCCTTTTACCTGCCTCCTACTTAATTAAACACTACAGGATTAAAGCTGTGGAGTTATCAGAAACTCACAAATAGAACCTGATTTTTACCGACTTCAAAATGTGAAAAACACGACTAGTTTATTTTAACAATTTGCACTGGTCATTATTTTTTACTTTCTTAACACAGTCCTAGCAATCTGAAAAGCTGTTTTCACAACTCCCAGAGGGCACAGGAATGCTGTTGAGGTAGTGTGAAAAAAGAACAAGCATACTAACAGCGCACTTCCAGCTTTTTCAGTTCTGATAAGGCTTTAAGCATCTGCAGATCACCGATGTCAAATGATGCCTGTGCAGAGATGGAAAAACAGCATTTATTTTCTTTAAACTAAAATCATATAAATCAGGTTTGAAATGTGTTGTGTAGCTTTTTTTGTTGTTGTTTTTTTTATTTCTCAGGTAACTATGGAATTGCTCTGTATAACATGACACTTTCTGGGCCGACTACAACAAGTGAAAAGTCTTATTTCATAAATCTATATGTCCTACCAGGAAATCAACTGAACCGATATTTGGAACCTAACTTCTAGGTTTGTAGATGATACAAAATATTTATAATTAGATGGAGACCACACACAAAGGTCTCCTTTTGACCCTAATACTGCGTTCAGATAGCCTGACTCATCAGCCAGTGTCACATTGTGGAAACCGTCTGACCTCGCAGCATTAGGATTTGTTCGCTCGACGGTAGGTCAATCGCTGCTATTTGGTCGTGATGTATGTAATGCGCCAAATCTCGTAGGAAAAAGGGCAATAACTTCTTTTCCCTTGATCAAATTCACCAAACATTCTCTTTGTTCCGGCTTTAAATCCTCGATCTCGGGAATCGTTGCCAACACAGAATGTCTGTCTTCATCTACATCCATCTCGACCTCTTTGTTTACTGTTGTGCTGTTCCACAAAAGGGACAAGACCAGCGCTTGAGTTTGACGTCATGACTTCACAGCTCTTCACTGCTTAGTCGGTGCGCGTTCTACAACTTCAGGGGTTCTTGCAAACTGTCTAGTGTATTCTGATTCTTGATCTAGTCGCTCGAGAGAAATGAAATTGAGTAGAGGCACTAGATGGCGCCAGCCTGGTCAGATCGAGGTGTCAAAAAACACGCCGAACGCCTCTAGTTGGACGCCTTTGCATTTGAGTTCAATGCGCTTTTTGGACGTCGTGGATGAATAGGAGAATAATACTTAATGCTCGTCCAGGACATCCACTGCAGTCTGCAAGTGCCTTGTTTTCCCGGTCGAGAGAGGCTTTAGAGTATTAATTACATAAAACACATCAGCGGAGGCGATCGTCTCGACGGTTGTGACGTATATATATTTATACTCTAATGACACGGTGTAGATTTCTTGTTTTATGGTGTTTGTGGCTTGCGAGTCTCTCTCTTTCTTCTTTTCTCTTTCTTCTTAATAATGTCGCTACGTCACTGGATAGTAGTCCCTGATTGGCTGATGGCAGATTCTCGACGCACTGCAAAAATACAGGACGCCCTCAAGGCACGTCCACATAGACTTTGCATGTGAACTGGACGCCTGAACGCCCCAGTCTGAACACAGCTTAAGACCTGTTTTTACAATGTACAAAAAGAAGAAGAAAACCTTGCTTTATGTAGTGTCAAGTAAGTGAAATGACAAAAAACATGTCCGTCTGTCTTTCTGTGTCTGTCCTTCTGTTTCTCCCTAAGCCTTTTCGACCCTGTTGTCTCTCACCTGGCTGGCGTTGGTGAAGCCCCGCCCATCGCAGTGCACCTGGAGCACGCCCTCTTTGACCTCGCAGGCGCACGGCTCGAAGCAGGGCTCGTCCACCTCCTCGTCCGAGTTGTCCACCAGCGGGGTGTGTGTGGAGGTGGGGGTGGGGGTGGGGCCGTGTGACGAGTGCGACAGGCACACGCACCCCAGGGTGACGGCCAGGGCCACCCACTGCATCCTGACCCGCGCGTGCCCTCTCAGCTCAGCAGGCTGCGGGTGAGGCCCGGCATCGGACCCTCACCGCACTGGACACAGAGGGAGACAGAGAGAGAGAGAGAGAAAGAAAGAAAGAAAGAAAGAAAGAGAGGGGGAGACAAAGCACAAGTCAGGTCAAGAGATCACAAGAACATTCAGACAGACATTAAGTACAAGTTGTATCAGACTGACTAGAATACAAGTCAACAACTAAAGGCTGTTTTATAGTTCTGCGTTGATTCAAAGCAACTGCCTTTTCACTGTTGTTTTTGGTTTATGGATCTGCGTCGAGGTCTGTGTCCACAAAGTACTTCACCGTCACAACACTAGGAGGCTAGGATTTAAAAATCGCGTTCGTGTTTACAAGATGAAGCGAGAAAGTGGAGCACTGGAAATCTATGTAGAGCTCTTCCTGTCTGCGTCGCTTTCTCTTGGCGTCTGTGTCAGTTCGATGTGTGGTTAGGACATTCCTGAGGTGCACGACGGTCGACGCAGACGCTCTACGGAGGGGTTTCAAGGCGATGCAAACTCGTCGCGATGTAGACGATTTGACTCATGACCATAAATTAGGCTTTATGAATCAAATCGTTACCACTGCATTATTTATTTATTTTATTTACCTATTTTACTTAATTTTATTTATTTTTTTTATCAATTAATTTATATTTTATTTATTTTGTATTTATTTATTTTTTCTACCTTTTTTTTTTTTTTTTTTTTAAGTACATATGATCACTGAATATAAATCTCGGACTTACCTGAGACTGATAAATTGTATTGTGCAAATATTGTGTAGTGAATCTGTGAATATGTGTCTGAGTGTGTGAATTGGCTTGTTATCGTTAATTTTTATTTATTTTTTTTTTTCGATTATATGTTGACCTGTGTTAACAATGTGGTCAATTGTTCATGTGAAATTTTTTTTGTCTGAAAATTAATAAAAATATTGGAAAAAATATAAATAAAAATGGTTACCACTGCAAGTTTTTATAGTTAAAGGTCCTACTCAGACTTGACTCTTGTGAGCTTTAAGTCATGTTATAATATCATTACCTCATTAAAAACGTACCTGGAGTTGTGTTTTGTTTCATGCACAGATTTCCACCTTGTGATGTCACGTAGTGGTAGTTTTCAAGTTAACAGCCCCGTTTGTTCAGTGGAGATCGGCAATTCCAGAGTTGAAATCATCCAAATGATTCTAGTGAAGGTGTGTGTAGAGCACTTCCTGCACAGCAAAAAGTGGAGTGTTAAAATTGACTCTCACAGAATCAACTTTAACATTTTCTCAGAGTTTATATGAGTCCAATCTGTTCTAGAGTTAATTTAACATTTTTGGAAATGTTAATTACGTAAGAGTTATTTTAATGTTTTGAGAGTAAATAGATAACACTTTGTACAGTTCCTGGTTTAGCTAAACAACACACAGAGGTGTTTTATTTTATTTATACTTTATTTTAGTTAATTTAAGCTGAAATTATGAACAAAACTGGTTCAAACTGGTCTTCTCTCACAAGAGTCTGAAGTGGTGAATGGGAGGAGCCAAATTAACACTAAGAGAAGTTGAATTTACACTAGAGGAATTAACCTCAACCACATCAACTCTGGCAAATAACCCCAACTCGAACCCACATTTAACTTTCAGATGGTTAAATTAACACTTTTGGTGTTAAAAACAACTCTGAAATATTTTACCCTAAAATTTTAACCCTCCAGTTTTTGCTGTGTGTATGACATCACAAGGTGGAAAAGAGTGTTTTCTGTTTGAGAGAAGAACTCAACTTAAATATGCAGGATTTGTGTGTTAATCATGTGTCCAGGTCTGTTTGTGACGAGGAAACATTATAACATCGATCTGAAAATAGCGTAATATGAACCCTTTAAAGAATGTACTATATGTTTGTAACTTTCAGGCATTAAAGGCACTCGATAAAAAAGCTAAATTCTCACTTTTGACAATTTAATTCTGCGTTCAAATCAAGAAACCTGCTCAAAATTATGAATAATGCCACTCCACCTCCACTGAACAAAAACATATTATAATTACATTCTGAAGAAACTATAAGAACAATGTAAATGAGGTGTTTTATAAAGCTGCACTATGTAACTTTATATTTTTTGGTCCTTCATGTGCTTGTTTCTATGGATATGTCTTTGCTTTGCTTGAAATATTCCGCAGTGTGACATTAAACAGCTCTACCTTACATTTATTCAATTACAGGTGGTTTTATAGCTCAAAAATACCTAGAGCGGGGTCGCCTCTCCACAGATCTAACCCGTAACTTGGTCTGGTTTGGTCTCCGTGACGATCAAAAGGTCTAAATATCATACCGTGACAACGAAAAAGTTACACAAAGCACCTTTAAACCAGAGTATAATATGGTTTGCACCCGAAAAACACACAATTTCTCCATTCCCATATATTCCTGTGCTCGCGATTTATTTGGTGAATAAAAGTGAAATTGCACGGACCAAAACGCCCGGCTAAAAGAGTAGCATTATGGTGCGGTAATGATTATAATCCATGGGTAAGTGCAGGCCACAGTCCAGAGAGCACAGCATGTTTGCATAAAGCTACGTGTACCGCAAGGCTTAGGGGAGTTAAGGACACGTCATCTGGACTCGGAGAGGTTCGCTGAATGAAAAATGCACTGTAAATAATGAAACCGAGATTAGTTCGTGAATGTATGAATTTTAAAGGGCATATGACAGGTCCTATATTACGTAGAATGGACTTGTGAGCTTTAAGTCTTGTTATAATATAGTTACCTCATCAAAAACACGACTGGAGTTGTGTTTTGTTTTTTTTATTCACACATCTTTGAATAATTCTTTATTTTTACTCTACAAAGCTCAAAAATGCTCCGTTGCGCCTTGTGATGTGATGAAGAGGTTTTGTTTAGTAAAGATTATCAATTTGAGGTCTGAAATTATATAAATGATTCTAGTGCAGTGGTCCGCAATCACTTTTGCGCCATGGACTGGTTTTATATCCGACAATATTTTGAAGACCAGGTAGGGGCGGCTTATGGGAGGAGGCGCGGTGCCGTCCGCTCGGCATGGTTAAGTTCTGGTTAAATCCTGTTTTAGTCCTGGTTTAGTCCTAGTTTTAGACCTGTGTTAGACATGTTTTAGACCAGTTTTAGACCTGGTTTAGACTTCTTTTAGTCCTGGTTTAGTCCTAGTTTTAGAGCTGTTCTAGACCTGGTTTAGACCTATTTTAGTCCTGGATTAGTCATGTTTCAAACCTGTTTTAGACCTGGTTTATTCCTGGTTTAGTCCTAGTTTTAGACCTGTTTTAGTCATGGTTTAGTCCTGGTTTAGTCCTGGCTTAGTCCTGGCTTAAACCTGGTTTGGTCCAGTTTTAGTCCTGGTTTTAGTCCAGGTCCGGCCTGCATGGCGTACAGGAAGAGGTCCACACTGCATATGGGAGAGGCAGGTTTGTGCTTTCGAGGCCTGGTACCAAACAACCCACAGCCCAGTACCGGTCCACTGGGATTGAGGACCCCTGTTCTAGTCTATGCATCGTAAAAACACAGTGGAGCACTTCTTGTATTACCACATGACATCACAAGGTGGAACAGAAGGTTTTCAGTTTGAGAGAAGAACTCGGCCAAACCATGCTGGTCTTGTGTGTTAAGTGTGTGGATGAAACAATACAGCAACTTAATTTCACAAAACACAACAATATTAAGGATCTTTACTTAATTCTAATGTGGAAAAGCTTCATTAACTTGAAAATTAAAATGAAAAATTACACTAATCTGAATGTTTAATGAGGAGGCATTATGCAAAATCTACTTTCTGGAGCTTTCTACCCACATGAAAAGCATGCCTGTAGAGCTTTTAGATGTCATCCATGCATGTTTGAGTAATCTAGGGATCTCTCCCAGGCCTGTACATGACTCCGCCCACAAGCCTACATCATCCATGCTCCCACACACACACACTCACGCACGTTTTCCGTTAATATATAAAAGAACAGGATACAAAACAACGCACTACAACTTCACAAACCTGAACCGACGTGGAGTAGTTAAATTAACCGGATAAGCTCAGACTGTGTCATAATTGCGCTCTGAACGGGGAGTGACTTAGCGTGGAGAGCAAACGGAGGTGAGGCAAGACTTGGAGCATCAAAAATAAAACTGAAACTTACAAGAACTTAGAAGTGTAAAGAATAAGAGCTTTGGATAACAAGGTGAAAAAGGTGAAAAAACTAAAGTCAGGATAGGAACTAGAGCGTTGTAAACTTTCTTTCTCCGCAGGTTGTTCTATTGTCGGGGGTCCGGAGGGCAAAACACTTTTCTGGGTAAATTGCACATTCCTGGCCAATATCTGTCAAGAGGGCACCGGCAAACATCCACTCTGCTCCTCGTGGAAGTATTAGAAATAGAAGTAGTAGAATGAAAGGATGAATTGAACCTTTGCACTCACATCTCGCTGGGGGTGTTCTACATGTATCTCTAACGGTGGAATGTTTAGGAGTTACCACGAGATGAGCTGAGATCGTCCAAATGATTCTAGAGAAGGTGTGTGGAGTAGTCCTGTAACGATCGAGATTCTGCTGGACGATTAATTGACGAAGAAATTATTGCAATAAATGATAATATTGACACTTTGAGAGCATTTTCAACTAATGTAATGGCAATGGAATAAAAATGTAAACACACCCTTTCAAAGATCAATAAACTTTACTTTCTAAAGAACATTTAACAAAGGAACTGCAAGACAACCAAAACAACAGGCCTAAATAAAACAGACTTGTTGACATAAGACTAGTACAATGTAGTCTGGCTTACATCAAGGACTTGTTCACAAAAATGCACTTGAATAAACCACTGTTGAACCAAACACAACCAAAACAATCAATAAAATGGATGATTAGGTCTATTACTAGGTCTGAATTGCCCTTAAAAGTGATTTTAATCATTGACTTACACTGAAATATTGTGTCCTGCTGCTGTGAGCCTCGTCATTTTGGT